GTCACCAAGGTCCAGTGATCAAAGGAGTCACAGAGGTCAGCAGGACAGTTCACAGTCTTCACGCCCATACCGGCCCTCTTTCTGAACCACTGCATACTTTCCCGTCTTATCCCCGGCCTCGTGAACTGTGGAGGTCTGACAGTTGGCTGCACACAAATTTTGGTTACATTTTGCTTCCGACTTGGCATTAAATGAGCATTTCTGGGGTGTTTTTTGGATGCCTTTGGATTAAGTGTTGATAAGGTGGTCCCAGGAAAACCCTGCCTGACACCTGGTACTAACAACTACAATAAAAACATTAAGTGGATACTTATCAGATGACCATGTGTGCCACTGTAGAAACGAAACAGGTATTTGCCCATTTTATTATTTGTTTAATTTTAAGTACGTGTAATTAGCCTGGTGACGAGGGGGCTGCCTAGTATTGCTGTCACGTACAGCCTCTTTGGAGATCAAAGAAATTCTCAGCCAGCATGGGTGCCGTTTCACTGTGAAAGCTCAACGTTGTACCCCTGACTAGAAGGGATACACTGAGATAGAGACGGAGAGGGGATCCTCGGCTGGATCTGCTGAGGGAACGGGGAGGAAGGGGGGGTTAGAAAGCAAACAGCCCGCTGCCAGTGTGATATATGTTTAAGCCCACTGGGTGCACAGCAGAGACACCCAGCTTAAGATCTTCAGCTCGTCTCGGCAACGGGGACGGTAGATCCCGGACGAGCCCGTGACTCAAGCTGGTGTTTTATTAAAGAAAAACAGGAGCGGTGCTTAAATGCCTTTATGAAGACAAAGGCAGCAGCATTGTGTCTGCTTTCAAATCTATCTCCTCCTGTCAGCCCCCTTTCCCAAAAGAATTAAACACAGTGTAAATATAGGCATCCGTGACCTGTAATTGTACCCTTTGCTGTCTAAAAGGATAAAAGAACTTTTACGAGGCAAGTGACAGCACATTCCTCACAGAGTTAGTGATGGTTAAATTATTTAACTCGAGTGTTTTATGACTACAAATCTACGACCACCCCCTCGAAACAAACTATTTTTAGAAGTAGACGAGTAAACTACATTGTTCAAATACCTACGCAGTGCTCGGTGAGCCTACAATTCTTGGACAGGGTACGATGAATCATTTACAACAGAACGTGGGTCATTTTAAAGGAAAAATAAATCTCTGAAGCATATGGCCATTTTTTTAATAAAGAAAATATCATGTATCCTCTATTATGCCAACACCAGCACATTTACAAATATTTTGTTCAGTTTTAAAATCCATCATTTAAAGACTATACAAGCTGTCAAACATGCAGTTTTACTAATCTTTTTTTTAAATGCAGTGGATCAGCTTCATTAGAATAAATAAATGAATGAATGCAAACTTCATGCTGACGTCTCCAGGTGTGGAACTGGGTCTCCAAGTAGTATCAAAGTTACCATTCATAATAAAGAGGTGTTTTTATTAAGTAATGTCACATTTTGTTACACAAATCTGGTCAAATTAAATTTACTTGCTTGGTATTTTAGACCCGTTTACTTACGGATTATTTATGTGAATAACTACACCTTTGTTTTTATTTGTTTTTGTTGCATTTTCTTAAAACTATGACTTCATGTTTATGACGGCCAAGAGTAATTCTTTGAGTGTATATAGGAGAAATTGAACACATGCAGTGAAGGTAATGATTTAACTGATGATAATTAGCAATCAGAAACGCTTAATGATGACTATCGCCTTGGTTTTGCAGATTTTCCGTTAGCGTTGTGAGTGAAGCCAAACTTTTCTCTGTACAGGAAAAATCCTGTATTCGCTTTTCAATCAGTGTCACGAAAACGCTCACACCAGTTTAAAAAGGGCTTATTATTGAAATGCTTGTGGTAAAGTGTGGGTGACTGTGTAATTTGCGGGCTTGAATGACAAATCATTCATGATATTGTGCATAACTTGTGATATTTTATCTGATTACGTGTATTTTTACGGTGTCAGCTAACAAACTGCTCCAAATAGCAAGCGACAGAATAAAGTAAACAAGCTGAATAATGCAATAAATGTCAGGGAAAGTTTGTCAGTTATGGGCTTCCATAAAAAGCTGTTTTGAATGATTTGTTGGCAGTGATATTTAAAACGGCTCTAGAAGTGGTTCTTTTTATGGTGTTATGACAAATCAAAACGCTATAATGACGAAACAATAAAGGACACATTTGCTCTCTAAATTCATCCAGATATTTCACCAAAGCGGGTTGATGAAAGTTTAATATCAATAAAAACTGGTGGAGAGACGGTGCCGTTTAAATGACCGATGATGCGCCTTTATGAAGAATATATCATCCCTCCTCCACCATCAGCTCCATCTGTTTTTACCTTTATTCCAACATTGCTCTGCCTGTCCAGCTGCTCTGACCGATTCTTAACTCTGTCATGAAAATCCATCATACAGTCTATGAACATTTATTGCTCCAAATCAGCTTCCCAGACACTGAAGTATGAAAATAGAGGCTCAGAGACAGAGGCCCAGTATCCGACCCTGAAACCCCCCTCCTTTAAATTTCAGTCTGACGCCAACTGAGGTCTGCAAGAAAAGACGGGTGACTGCTTTTTGCCATGCTGTAACAATTAATTAGGAGACACTCGGATTACCTGAGCAGTCTTGAAAGTCAACCGAGAAGCTCCTACAAAGAAAGATCAACTCGGACCACCCACATCCACATTTTCAAAATAGGATTAAAGAAATAAAAATGATACCGTAGACAGAGGCGAAGCACAGCTACCGACCCCTAAGACAGAAAAAGAAGCCAGACGCCGACCGACTGGCGCATCAAATCTAGGGGGGGCTCTTTTAGATTATCTTAGCAATCATATCAGTGTTTTTAGGAGCACGACTGTGGTCTGATGGGACAAAGTGTTGGGAAAGCGTGAAATGCAAAGTCCAAAACCTTTACTGGATTTGTGCAAACTCCCATTATTTCCTCTACAGACTTAAAAGAAGCCCTACAGTACACAGGACTGTGCAACGGCAGAAAAGCAGTAATGCAGACAAAATGTAGACAAAGTTATGACAGTCACAGCTTGATAGACTGTGGATTAACATCCGGTACCCCGACACAGCTGATTTATTCAATATCGTAACCCGTTTCACAGAATCCTCTGCAGCAACAAACAGCCAGGGACAGACGGGAGAGGCTGACTGTGAAAGCTGAGAAGTCAGATTGTTTTTATTGTCCTTCCCATTCTGCTTGGCAGCGAGTCTGCTCTGCACTGTAGATACAACTTCCACTGTGCATCCTTTAACACGGCAAATTAATCATGTGTACTGCATGATATAATGCACTACTTTAGATCTTTTTAAAAAAAGAAATACTGATTTTTACCCCTTTAATCCCAGTTTAATCCCAGTTCACCAGCTTCTTTTTGGTTTTAGCCACCCGTGAGGTTAAGGCATCACAAAGATTGTGGCTCCACAGCATTAACCCTGTATGCTGAAAAACTGCCCATGTTCCCTGCTTTCACAATATTCAGTGTTTTTATTCTAACGCTTGTCCCGATTCTCTCAAATCTTCCCTCTGACAAAGCCCTCCATACAATAATAATTAATAAAGATTAAAACTGAAACTTAAAACTGTCAAAAAATAAAATAAAATGTTCAGTTAAACTCAAAGCAAAGAGTGAGAAACAAAATTAAAATAAAAAAACAATTATAAACTACAAAGCTATCATAAGTCTTCTGTATGCCGCTTTAAAAAGGCAAAAAAAACAAAACCCATCCACATCAGGTTGGAGGAGTTTGTGTTGGAGCAAATCATTACCTGCTCACGCCGGAGACCCAAGTTTGAGTCACAGATGTCAGAGATGTTCACACATCATTTGTATCATTTTTTATTTTTCATTAATTACAAACATGTCGCTCATTAATAAAAAATAAAACTGGAATAGGTTTGGAAAAACATGGTTTGGGTTCAAATACAACATCTTTCAATAATTTTGGCTCCTTAGTTGTCGTGGTGACGCCGCCTCACTTCCTCTGGACAAAATAAGAAGCCAAATGGTGAAAAAGTGACAATTTTCGTTCTTTAACATGAACAAGTAGGCTGGGACTGGGCTGCATGTGAACAGCCTGTAAGAGTTAATCAAATTCAAATTTGTCAGTCTTTAGAAAAGAACCCAAAAACTTCTGCACCCTTGAGTTTAACATGCAGGTGCAATGTGGCAGCTGCAAAGGAAACTGGGGAAAGGCCATCTTTCGTCTAGGAATCACACCAGCTCTTATGTAATAACCTGGTAATTACTACAGACGTGCACACTATTCATGGGACAGATGACACCCATCATCAAGCAAAACAAAATAGAAACTATCTGAAGTGCTCAAAAATACTTTTGGAAATTGCTTTTGCTGCTTTTGTCCTCAGAGCTACACATATTTATTCCAGCTACTTTTTTTTAGCTGATAAAAACGTCTGTCTGCTTAAAATCTTAAGACCTGATACTGCAAACGCCCCTGGCCAATGAAAGTCTAAACTCCACTTTACCTAACTTAAAAATATCTCAACAATATAGGATGTCTATCCATGTTGGACAATGGCCTGAAGTACAGCTTAACCTCAGAAGAATTGACAGTGACTGATGTGCTGCTGGTCATTCAGACGCTCTGAGATTGGCATCTCTAAAGGCTTTAGGAGCAGAGGATGAAGACGGAGGTCAGACTAAACAAAGACCAGTCCACCCTGGACGCTTTGGGGAGTACAAAGGGCAAACCTGCTCTTCTCAGTCCACTTTGAATGCAGACCAGGGCTCATAGCAGGCAGCAGGTAAACTACTTAAGGAGTTCAAATGATACGCTAACATGTGTAAACAGTATCATATATTCTTTAGGCAATTATGTCACTTCAAAGATTTACTTATCTGTTAGATCACTTCTCATTTGAAAGAAGGTCATCAGCAATTTGGGATTAAAATAAACAAAAAACAAACAAACAACAAAACGCAGGGAAAAACACTGAATTTGATATTTCACCCCAAAAGATCAGAGCGCGAGATGATTCGCTCTCCGTTTCTGACTGCCTGACTGACACTTTTATACCCGCTTCTTGGAAAACAGACATTACATAATTCATCCAGACGAACGGCAGGTCATTAAGGGATCCTGAGAAGACTCATTTATGTTTTGAATGATTTACTGCCGACGCAATTTGCTGATTAATTTGCCAACTTAAAAGTTGGACCATTGGTCGGACAAGCAAGCAAGGTGGAAATTCACTGATTAACTGACTTGTCAAGTAAAACAAACAAATGATTTAAAGAAGAAAATAACTATTCGTTTCTAGAAGTTTCATTTCTGGACTTTCATACAACACAATGGCATAAAAATGACAAGCCCAATTCACTTTTACTGTCATTTGAAGTTTACTTGTATTTGACAAGAGTTTTTGCATGAAGGTGCGAACTTGGCAGGAATACTGCAACATTTTTTTAAAAATAAATTTACAGTAGTGGCAATCTGTGGACCCAGGGCCTAGCTTGCACAAATATCTGGTTTAAATCTTCTTGTTCCGTGTGCCAGGAGTTGTGCAAGAATGCAGACTTCTATGCAAGAAAGATAAAAAAACAACTAAATTGTAAGAAAATAGCAGTTTTCTTCAGGATTGTGTTTCAGTAAATCAAATCCATATTGTGCTTACCTGCATGCATCCAGAGTTTGCTCAGAGCTAAAACAGAGACTGGATGCAGAGCAGAAAGTTCCTGGTATGAACAATCGTGTCCCTTGCCAGCAGATTCCAGATATATTTCAATGCAGATATCCATGCATTTGAAAAAGAGTTTGCATAAGACTCAGAGTCTTGCATGAGAGCTTGTAGAACCAACTTTAGCAGCAGCAACTTGAAGAAACAGTTTTCTGTGTTTCTGTGTGACTTTGTTAGTTCTTTACACCAATGTGGACAAATTCAGGACAGTTTTTCTTTACAACATCAATTCAGTTCCCTGAGGTTTGCAGACATTCATTTATGCACTGCTCGAGTTCCTGCCATTCCACTTAAACTTAGTTGGACTTTGACTGGGCTGTTGCAGAACCTGGATCCTTTTATTTTTGAACCAATCAGTTCTAGATTTGCTGCTGTGTTTGGGATCATTGTCCTGATGCATGGCCCGGTTTGGACCTGGCTTTAGCCTCATATTTGATGTTATGACTCAATGACTGCACGGTGTCCAGGTTCTGTGGCTGCAAACAAGCCAAATCCTCACAGGTCCACCACCGTGCTGACAGTTGCTTTGAGACGCTGCCGTGTTTGGTTTTCTCAAACGAGGCATTGAAACGTCTCCACTTTGGTGTCATTTCTCCAAAGGACATTGTTCCAAAACCTCTGTCGCTTGTTCAGATGCTGCTTTGCAAACCTAAGCTGTGCCATCTTCTCTTTATTTAAAAAAAGAGAAGAGGCTTTTCTCCCTTCCAAACAAGCCATTCTTGATCCGTCTGAAGCCTGCAGAGTCTCAGATGAATCTGCTGGGACGATTGTGGCTGTTAAACCTGTCACAACCTAGCTCATAGGCTGCAATAAAACTGAGGGGCACTACATGAGGTACTAATCATTTATTCTACAGGACATAATTAAAGAGAACGTGTTTGTCAGCGAGTTACTCATGCAAAGTGTTGATGGACATGTGGCAGTGCGTGGAAAGTAAAACTTCAGGAAGCTGTTATCAGAAGCAGGACACTGAGCAACGTGAGGTCAGCTGCAGAAAGGAGGCACCTTTGTGACTGAGCTCACTGGACCCAGGTGTAGCTCACGCTACAGTTACTCCTCCAATCAGCTCCTGCAGAACAAAACACAGAAAGTGCAGCACAAGAACCAAAACAGAGACACCTAGTGTGTAGGAGACGCCATAACCCACACCTGAATGTTCCAGACCAGCACACAGCCAAAACACAGCTTTTATAGATGTGGTTTACAGTCTCCATTATCAGTTCACAAATTAGCAGCACCTGGCAGCTACTCACCTTCTTAATCCCTGTGGAAGAAGTAAAATTGTACTTTGTTTTTCACAAGACTTCATAGAGTGCTGTGAAAACTCTTTATCACATGTCTGTGTGTTCTGGAAAATAATGCTGCAGCATGAAGTGAAACAAAGCCGGTCACTTCACCTCGCTCTTTTTAACTCCAATCAGCAAAACTCGGGTTTAAATCTAAGTTTTCCTAGAGATTCAACAATTGTTGAAAGACTGTGTAACATTACTTTAACCTTGGGTCAGTGGAAACTCTTATGCAAAAGGGCACTTCTGCATACGAGTCCAGCATAAGAGGGAGAATCTGAGAGCCGGAAAAGTAACACCATCTAAAAATGTTCTCCAGTGTCGAGCATTTTCCTCACAATATTTGCACAGTTCAGCACGACAGTAACCGTGCACACCGCACATCTTTATTTTAACTGCGAGCGCCGCTAACAGTTTGGTGCTGCAGAGCTCAAACAAACGACAACACGTGGAGTCATCCCCACCTAAGAACCCTGGCACCAGACTCATCCAGACAAGGCTGCATGTCGAGCTCTGTGAGAATCAGTCTGCAGCTTGAATTCCTTCCAGTGTTTGTGAGACGGCTTAATAACTGTAGAATTAAACTAATTACAAACACAAAGTTAACGGCGGCAGAACAAATACGTGCCAAGCTCGGGAAACCCTGAGAGTCTGGACCTCTGCCTATCTCCGGATTCCAAAAACACGCTAACAAAATAACCGGATTAAATTGAGGTAGATTGAATAATTTATGTACACAAGCCTCATTTTGTTAACTCTGTTTTGTTTGTGGATGGAGAAGGTTACGGTACATTGCAGAGCCAACATGAAATCTTGTTTTGTTTTTTGTTTTTTAAACTGACATGAATACCAAACTCGAGTGTGCAGTTGATTAAGATGCATTTTTCCAGGAAAAGGAGAAAGAAGCAGGATTTCTGTAACCATGGCTGCAGCCGTTAAACACTTTCGAACCATCTCTGTATGTGTGGATTCAAGGGCAGAGTCATAATGAGCAGTGGCATTAACGATACTGCAAGATGTGCTCCCGCCACGGCCTGCATTACTGCAGTTAACTGGGTTTGTAATGGGGTAGTTTTTCAGGCACGTGTCTGCAAAGAGCAGGCTTCAATCATATCTAAGTGCATTACTGGAAAGCAGGGAGGGGATGTGCAGTCGCAATAGCTCATATATATAAGAGATCAGGTCAGGAAAGGTGGAAGGAATTGTAGTCTCATTTTCATGCATTCCAACAGATTTTTCAAAACAAATCTGAAAACCAGCTAAATCTTTTGCCGTTCCTTCTTGGCTTTGTGCATAAAACACGGTTATTTACACACAGAGACAGATTAAAAGGGGGGTTTCAACAACACCCTTGCAGCAGCACATGAATTATATCTATTACCAGCGACTTGATAGCGTGGAGTGAACAACAGCGGAATGATAATAACAGTAATACTGTCGCAGCCATTGTGCGACTCCCACTGAGTTTGTAAAACAGGACCGTACGAGGGTGACTGGCCTTTGATTTTGGAAATGAGTAAATCAGTCTGCAGGCTACAACGAGCCATCTCATTTGAGGCATTTGTGTATTTTGGATTTATTGGTCCCAGAATGCACCCCCTGCCCCCAAATCTATCTCTGACTAACGCAGCATTTTCTTTACTAGAAAATACGCTGTCGAGAAGTTTATAGAGGAGCACTTAAGTTCACAGACGGGTTTACTGCTGGCTCCGTGCGCTTGGTGTGAAATAACAAACATTTCTCTTAAACCCGTTTCACTGCTCAAAGGAAAGTGAGGGCTTAGTGAAACCCAAATAGCAATGGAGACAGAAAGATTCATATCATCGGGCTTCTTCTTTGGTGTCTGTACGTACCGAAGCGCGGTGCCATTCTTGGTTAATTTGACAATTACGGCGTAAAATGCAGCAGAAAAAAAAAACAAACCCCACAGTCAAAGACTGAAGTGACACCTGAGGCTGAAAGAGCGATTTAAAGAAAGGTTACGATGGATGACGACCAACTAAAAAGCTGTTTGCAGTTTTCCTGCCTCGGTATTTGTAATCATCGAAATCTCTGATTACGAGCTAACATTTCATGCCAAGTCATGGACAAAGTCACACTCGTGTCCCTCTGGAAGGTGTACAATATTTAGTTATTATAGTTATTACAGACAATTGAATTTCTTATTGTGATTTATTAGTTAATTTCCTTTAAATTGCCCATTTCCAGGCATCTGAATAACTTTCCAAATTTTCAAAACAGTTCAAATGATTCTAATGTGATTGCTGATGGCCATTTCCTCAGACGCGAACAAAAGAGCTGAGCCCATCGGTGCTTTCCAGGCGGGATTGAAAAAGAAAACAAAAGCAGAGCCAGAAAAGTTGCTTTTGTGTGCTGGAAACCTGTGAGAGGCTGCACGAGCTGCTCCAAGTCAACTGACTGACTGGGCCATGTATGACAGTATCTTTCTAATATTCACAACTCTGGAGAAAAAGCCTCCAATACTGTGAATACTGACTAACCCCTAACCTCTAAATATTTTATTGAAAGCGATAAAAACTCATCTTGAAAGCCAAAAATACACAAAACGAATGTACCGTATTTTCCGCACTATAAGGCGCAATTAAATCCTTTAATTTTCTCAAAACTCGTCACTGCGCCTTATGTATGAATTCTGGTTGTGCTTACTGACCTCGAATCGATTTTGTGTGTCGATTTTATATATGCGTCTTATAATCCGGTGCGCTTTATGGTCCGAAAAATACAGTAGAGTAAACTTGCAAGCCCTGTGACGGAGCGTGAATGACCTTTCTTGGTGGGAGATGAGAAACATGTAGTATGCATGTTTTGTTTTTTTTAAATAGAAACTGAGAAAGCGAGCAAACATTAAAATACGTGCATAACAATAACATATTGTATCAGCTATTATATCAGCCAAATTAACTAGAATCATATGAAATTATTTAAAATGACGTAATGATCTTTATTAAAGTACATCTAGGGTTCAAACCTGTCACAGCTACTACTTTTTCCACAGGCCTGAACCAAATTAAAGCTTTCATAAACCGATCAGAAGACAAACTGTACATGTAAACCATCCCATCCTGACTCTTCTGAGCTGAACTGCTCCTCTGTGGAAACTTTGTCTTTAATATAAATGCTTAAGGAATTAAGAGCAACGCGATAGCAGCGACTACTGGGCTGGACAGACAAAAGTCAGGTCTGATCCAGGACATATTCTTCCTTTTTGCTCCTGTCACACATGCACGTACTGAATCACGTCCCGTGTAAACACTTGAGCTAAAATCCTCAATCAGGATGATAAAATGTGTGCGCGTAACCGCAGCCACCGTGTTACTGCAGGTCTCCCATTTCTCTGTCGTTTCTGGAGTGGTATTAGTAAGATTTAGTGTAAACCAAATAATCACTGAAGGTGATGCACTATTCCAAGAAAAGCACTTAGATGGTACCAACAGAAATTATCCCATTTATCATTCTGCAGTAAAAGTGTCTCTGCGTTACATGCATTTTTAACCAACACCCTCATTTTCTGGATGCTTTACATCTTCTGCCATTTAAATAACACGCTTAGCATATCGGCGCGTACACAGTTTGGGGTAATGACATAATTTCAGGCGTACGTTTCTGCAAGAATGAGAACGATAAGTCTGTCTGCAGGTCAGGGAGAAGTGGTGTTAAGACACATTTAAGCTCTCTTCTGAGGAGGAAGCGGTGCATGACGCACTATCGCAAAACAGAATAGTCCTCTGATGAAGAGTGGAAAACTGACACAGCTGAGAGAAAACAGATTCTTCCTCGCAGTATCCAGAAAGAAACGCTTCGCCTACTTCATGTTCAGCCGTTCTTGCTGCTTTGTTTCAAGCTGCTTGGCTGACTGCAGGTCTGGCCTGCTGATTGCAGTGATAGACATGAAGGAATCTGGTGTTGGCTGCCAGAAACCACAGAAGAAAAAGGAGAGCACCTCCGTCTACCGTTGGTCTGTGCTGTAAGGAGAGGTAAACACTGGTAGTCTCTCCTTAGTACGCATGGCTTGTGTTGGCTGAGAGACCAGCTGCAGCTCTGAGGAGGTGCCAGTCTGTGGTCTGCTGAGCAGAAGACAATTATTTTTAATGAATACGCACAAAAAAATGCAGTGCGGCCATTAATGTTAAGCAATCAAATCCATACTGGTACAGACAAGTCTCTCAAATTTAGAAATGCATGCACTCCGAGTGTACAGTAAATTTGAATTGGGGGGGTCTGAACCGCAGGGTGTATCTCCCCGTCACTCAAACGCAAACAGTGACTGCTGCTCGGCCTCTTTCGTGACAACAAACAGACTTTTATCAAGAAGCACATGACGTGCAGGTAAACTAAATAGTTAGCACTTGTTACCGACATTTTTAAAAACCATTATTTAACCAGGAAATTAAACTCTCGCGAGATTGTCCTGGCTCATACGCAGCATTAACATGGGCGACGATGGCAGGAGCTCCCAGAGGAAACCCACACAAGGGCAAACAGAAGCAGCCAGCTCCACACAGAAAGGCCCTGACACCGCCTAAAACCAGCACAGTTTTACCCCACCGCTCCATTTTTGTGCATCTCAATTTTCTTTTAAACAACATTTCAAGAGTGAAAAATCACAAATCCGGAGCTACACTCAAACCTCTGCATTCCTGTTGGATTTTAAGCCCAACAGGTCCAACGTATTCATTACTGGCAAATTAAAATCATCACCCTCATCCGGCTGTCTGATAGCACAAGCAGGAAAAAATGACAACAATGCAAATGCAGAAGGGCTTAAAACTGCAGTTCCTCTAACGGCCACTAGAAGCCACAGAAGAGTCGATCCCCATAGACTCCATGTTAACCTTTAAAGCAGAGATAGACATGATCACAGAAAATATCCACAGTCCAGATATACAATCAAACACCCCTAATTTTGTATATTTGTCCATAAAAATTGAGTTTTTACCCACAGTAAGATAAACATTATTAAGGCCGTGGCTGCAGACTTGAGTATTAGCTGTCTGCTAGCCACCCATCTCCGCTAACTGGCCTCAGTGAGTTAGACCAGTGGTCTCAAACCTTTTTTGCGCCACAGACCGGTTTATGTCTGGATATTTTCACGGACCGGCCTTTAAGGTGTCGTGGATAAATACAACTAAATAAAATGAGTACCGGTACCAAAAAAAGATTTATTCATAACACACAGGAAAAGACTCAGGGTAACAGAGTTAATGCTAAAAAAAAAAAATAACGATAAAAACCCTGAAAACCATCAATTTCACACCCGAGCCTCAACTCTCGCGGCCCGGTACGGTCCGTGGCCCAGGGGTTGGGGACCGCCAAGTTAGACCATTATACCACCATCTATAACAGCGTCTCTGTGATGCACCTACACAGCCCGTGTATTCCTCAATAGGCTTGGTAACAGTAGCAGCAATGTTACCTACCACGCACTCTGACCTCTCGCTCAAATGTGGATACAAAAACCGTAAAAAAAACAGAAAATAAGATTCCAACAGATTCTAAAGGCTCAGAGGCTTCAACTGGGATTCAAAAACCAGTGTGTCATGGTGTCACGACCACCTTTCATATACAGTTTGTGATTAAAACAATGAAAGCCTCAGAATAAACCCAAACCCCCTCAAACACACGACAGAATGAGGTCAAAGAAAGAAAACATTTGTTTTGTAGTTTGTAGTAATGACCCAGAAACTATATGCAGATGAGGACAAACTGTAAACATGTTACATTATATTCATAGCGTACAAATACCCGAGACTTGTATCCAAATGGCCGAAGCTTCGCTGCAGGCATGCGGCTGTTATCTGGTGCTTTTAAAGAGTTAAAATTGTTGAGGCAAATATCAAATCTTTGGGAAAACAAGCTAAGCTTAAAGTGCTTCAATCAACCAAAATTAATTGAAATGTTTCACGAGTGTAAACAGCTGGGTATCGCTACAGTAATGCAGCTCTTTGCTCATTTACTCCGTGACCTTCAAGTGGTTTTCCTAAACGCACACATAGATCATGTCTAAATTACACCCCCTCAGGACAACTCCGTCTTTTATAGCAACGCAGTCATCTGAATATGCACTTAAGCTCAGGACAGTTTGATGAATTATCATTCGCTGAGGTAGAATTACCTCGAAATGCTCAGGGTTTGATTTACTCAACTGAAAAAGTGGCAGGAGAAATACAGCTGTGCTAAAATTACAAATATCCACTGCAGTGGAGCTGTTATGCAAGTTGCGTGGCCTCGGGCACAATGTACGACAAGAGAACCTTATCAACCGATACCCGTCCGAGGTTTTCCTTCTTGTAAAAGCAGCCATTCATTACAGCATGTATCTACACCGTCTCTACAGTTTGTTACTTTTTCTTTGCTTTAGAGGCAGAAATGGGAGACAGGTTTAAATACCTGTAACAATGCAGAACCGGTCTTCAATAAAACCACAAGAACTACGCAGATTTATATTCTCCACGTCTATACAAACACATACCTCCCCAGTATAAGGCCATGTTTGAACGTTTTAATCCCAGTACACCAACATTCTACAGCAAACGGGTTAAACTCGGGTTTAGTAAACCTCTTGTAATCCCCGTCCTTATAGGGATTACTTTTGTCTACAAGGAACGGTCGTGAATTTTAGAATTTTCAAAGATTCATAGAGTTGCTTTTTTTGCCTTTTCAAGCTCAAGTGTATGTAATGCACTCCGACCACCAAAAAGTGGCAGCATGACCTCAACTGTCATTAAAAACCAGAGATAGAAGAACACATGACTCACTACCTTCAGCCAGAATGTAAATGTTGGTACTTTGAGATGTTGCACTACAAAATAGTCAAACTGCACTAGAGCCATCAACAAACAAACAGCTGTCAAACAGGTTTTTGCTTCTAATGGCGTTCCCCGCCTTCTAATAAACTACACCGACTAAGCAAAAGACGCTTACTTGCTTCCTTCTGCCAAGTAAGATAGTTGGAAAACATAGAAATAAAGGAAATAAGGCTTATGAACTCTGAATAACCAGATCACGATGGATGAGGACATGAAACAAACATCTGAAAAATCTTCTTCGTCTTGCGGCCTTCTGAATCTGCTCTCTGTGATTCTTCGCTTGCTTATTGCTACGTGTTCACGTTTACTTAACGAAAGACAAAAATTCTTTCACAAAAAAGCGATACATGCATACCAGACATTACCAGCCTAAAAACAGGACGTTTTGGGAAATTTAGACACTGAAACTGGTGTAAATGTGCTCAAGCTGTGGTTTCATGAATCTGCACGCATAATAGAGCAGAAAGCCTTCAACACAAATATAGTTGATCTGCACAGGAGAGCATAGAAAAAGAAAAGAAACAACAGCAAAAGCATCAAGGTATCCCTTGGGTAATATCTCTAATAGTAAGCTATTAAAAATCACTAAGAAAAAAAAAAACACATTGAAAAACAGGCTTCCAAGCGCAGCCATTATTTTGTTACCTCTGGCAGACAGCGAGGCACCTGGGAAATCTGAGCCGACGTTAACGGGCTGCAGCAGTCCAGCAGAAAAACTATATCACTTTCTTAAGCTAATTAGCCCTGAATATTACGAATCAAAAGAGCCTCACTCTGAAACACAATGGCCAGCCAAGAAATATATTTGTCTTCCATTTGTGAGAGACTGGCAGTGGAAAGACTCCAGGACCGAATATTATTCAACCAAGACATTCCAGGGGATAAAATGTTGCATTAAGCGTCTGATTTTTGTCACTGCTCCACCATTTTCCCCAAACGAACGGACGAAGAGATGAAACTGGATCTCACCGTCAACGTGAAAAACTGAAAGGAAGGTCAACGTTCGCCCCGATGATGCTGCTCTGACAGACCTTAGACTGACGGACGCGACAGAATGTACTTCGGAGGCGCTTTAAAGTTACAGTTATGCAACGATAAACTTGTATTAGCTGCATCAGAGATAAACATTTTGGATTTGACAAACCTGAGCAATTAAATTTTCTGTGTTTCGCCGTTTAGACATTTTCTGAGTGCCAGTTGTGTGGTAGTCATCATCGTGTCATAAAACAGGACTTTATTCTTTTTTTTTTTTTTTTAAAGATTGTTTCTAACTGAAGTTACTTGGAAATTTAAACATTTTGAAATGTTTCATTATTTCTATTCCAATATTTAAAAGACAGCATTTACCTGTAATAGTAGCTAGTGTATTTAACCTGAATCTCACCAGTTAACAGCATGAACATCTACCTTACATTATATATTAGTAGTTATATGTATACTGGAAAGCCCCCAAAACTAGTAGGAAAAAATGACAGGCTGGTATTTGCATCTGTGATTCTTGGGCGTAAAACACTGCATTCATTTTGCTAACATTCCCAGATATTCCAGGTAACTCGTGCACAATGAAGCCTGGGTAGTACCTTCAGTTTGCTCCTATGCCTGATAAAAACCAGGAATAACAGCTTGAATCAGGCCGCAGAGGCATACTTCAGTCAGTGTGTACATTTCACCAGCAGATGGAGGAAAAACATCACAGATGGCACAGACCTGCACACAGTGACCATTTGATGCAAATCTACTCAGTACTGATAAAAACAAGCAGTTCTCTAAGTGCCAAACCTAAAACCACAATATTCAGTTTTAGTATGCAACGCATACATTTATCAAAATGAACAAATCATTTAAAAACGTGTATGAAACAAACCTGAAATAGACCTTCCTGCACTATACGTGTAGCGACTTCCACAGTCGCTAGAGGCCGGGGATGGAGCCTGCCTATTTGCCTGACGCGCTGTCAACTTTACGCAATAATGCGAGAGGTGGAATTGTTTGCTTGTTTATTAAAGTGCTTTGAGAGTTTACAGAGGTCAACAAAAACTACGGCTACCCCTCCTCTGTCAAAATCAAAACCAGTGACAACGCCCTCTTAATGTCACCGCTAGCACCCACGTGACTCCCGTTACACATCACCATAGCAACCAAACAAATGAAAACCCAGTGATCATCAAAATTCAATACATTTAGTTATGGCTCCTGCAATATGGAACAATTTCCAAAGAAGCTACTTTGATGTAAAAACTATATAAAGACTACTTAGTTTTGGTGATGTGTGGATTTCTCGATCTCCTTAATGTTTCCAGTTTCAAACGTCTATTGTCAGGTGACATCTTGACAACTTTTAAACTTTCACGTCACATCAAACGAGATCAGAGCTAGGGGTAACATCACTTTACTGTAACGCCTCTACCTCTGGTAGTAATGTGGAACTGGACTCACCTCTTGTTGCTTTTGATTTGTGTGAAACCACCAGGCAGAGCAGAGAGTGACTCTTGACAGAGACGAGGAAGACGGCAGTTCTTCTCAGCATTTTTCTATTTTCAGAACTTGTAAATCTACACTTCAATAAATCCATCACAAGGATCGTCATCAATCCAGCAACCAGCCTCAATCAGATTTGCTCATCTAACACGAAGGAAAAAGCAATAAGCGCAGAAAATGCACGACATTTATTTTGAAGAAATGCTTCATCAATGTGCTACAAAGTACAACTGCAGGCTATACAAGGCAAAAAAATAAAAATCCAGGAGACCTTCGTAATATAAGATTCCATATTTCAAACTGAGTCAACTAAACAAGGCAGTTTTGTTGTGCACCTGAGACATTTCTAGTGTAAAGTGTTGATTCTTGGCGGAGTCTCTGTTATTTTGATCTTTAATCTTTACTTTGCAACAACTTTTTAAGATTTTGACATTTTTTAAAGAATCAGCTGATCACCTTCATCGACTCACAGTAGCTTTCAGAATTTAATTTAGGCTCTTCAAACCTTTGAGGATCTTCACATAGCACAGTTTTGGTTATCCTGTCGATACAGTCGGCCCTTTAAAAATAAATTCCTGGTGGTGTTTGACATTCCCAAGGCTGCCCTTTGTCTCCAGTTATGTTCATCATTTTTAATGGAGAGAATTTCTACTTATAAACCAGCGGCCTTGCCTCTGCTTTTTGTAAATGATTTAGTCCTTTTGGCTTAATCAGGTGGTAACCTCCAGCTCGCACTGGGCCAGTTTGCAGTCAGGTGTGAAGGAGTGGGAATGAGAAGTCCACGTTTCTTAAATGGAACTGCCCCAAGTGGAGGAGCTTAAGTAACTCAGGGTTTTGCTCAGGAGTGAGCGGAGAATGAAGTGGGAGGTTGGTGTCATGTCTACAGTAATGTGGACACTGTGTCAGTCTATTGTGGAGAAGAAAGCTGAGCTCAAGCTGGCGATCTACCAGGCGATCTAGATTCCTACCCTCACCCTATGGCAACGAGCTCAGAATAGGGACTGAAAGAATGAGATCACAGGTAGAAGAACTGGCAAGGAGCTTCCTTCGAGAGCTGGGTGGGCCCTTCCTTAGCGATAGGATGAGGAGTTTGATCAATCGGGAGTGACTCAGTAGAGCTGATACTCCTTAGAGAGAAAGAAAAGCTTTCAGAGATATCTGTCAGCTGGCTTGGGCCTTGTGTCTCCCTAGATGAGCTGGAGGAGGTGGCCAGGGACAAGGTGGCCAGGGACAAGGTGGCCAGGGACAAGGTGTGTCTTATTGCTCTGCTCTGTCTGGTGTTGCACTATTTGTTTGTGTTTTTTTTGCCATTTTTGCACACTTGCACTTTATGTAGTCCTGTGGTGATTGTCTGTTATATGTCATATGTAGCACCGTGGTCTTAGAGGAACATTGTCTCGTTCCACTGTGTACTGCACCACTGCAGTGGCCAATCAAGCCACTTGACCTGACTAGCATAGAAAGCCGACTGTTAGAGTTCATGTTTTTTTTTCTTTTAAACAAATCTGATTGGAGCATCTATCAAAACAAGATCCCAGAAACAGAGTAAAAGAAAACGGGAGACTACAACAGAAAAGTCCATTAAAGCCGTCACTGCACCACCAGCAGCACTGTGACCTCATAGGAAACTACAACCATCTTCTTCCATCAGGAAACATCTGGGCAAACACTTCAGTTTCACGCCACATCAGCAGAGAAATTAAAAAAAAAGAAAGAAAACAGGACAGGGGTGGGAGGGATACAAAGGTCCCTGGTCTGCTTTCACTTTTAACTCTGTGGTGGAGGGCCAATCAGGTGGATTATAGGGGCAACGAGGAAATGACCTTGTAATACATCGTTTCCACTGAGCAGTCCTCTGAGGCAGCTCAAAGAGGGTTTGCAGTGTATACGGCGGCATACGTCAATGACTGATGCTGGAGATGGAAATAAATTCTGTATTGTTATTTGTCCATGGTGACTGTGAATCTTAGATCTGGAACTGGAGATGTCTCATAAAGTCAACACTAGATTCTTATCAGTTTTAGTGCATCATGAAGCAAAAAACACGGAATAATAACTGCTCATATTTGCTGCGTTGTCCATTTGCCATCACTGTTTTGAGCTTTTGGACATGTGTTTAATGCCTAAACCGACCACAGTGTTACATCATTGTCAGATTAAGCACGAATTATAAACTACAATTCAATGTAAGAGATTACTGGGGAGATTATTGGGAAACAAGAGTTAGATAATTCAGTTATAAAAATAACTCTTGTTAACTCTTAATAAGCCTGTTTGTGGAGAATGCAGACCAAACCGCATCACAGTGCTTTGAGAAATATGGGAGAAAATTGTTCCTGCTAATGATAGAAACAAGCCTGTTTCACCACTTTACGCAAAAAACGCATCGTCAAGTACGACCAGGCTGAGAAGACATATTAGTAGATGCTACCAGCTGGTGACGTGCACTCTGGAAATGAACAAATGACTACACCGAGGGTCGAAGCACTCACTGGATCAGGGGTGGGCAACTCCAGGCCTCGAGGGCCGATGTCCTGCAGGTTTTAGATGTATCCTTGATCCAACGCAGCTCATTTAAATGGCTAAATGGCCTCCTCAGCATGTCTTGAAGTTCTCCAGAGGCCTGCTAATGAACTCATCATTTCATTCAGGTGTGTTGACCCAGCGTGAGATCTAAAACCTGTAGGACACCGGCCCTCGAGGCCTGGAGTTGCTCACCCCTGGATTAGATGCACGCCATGTGGATGGAAGTGACGGATGAGGTTCCGTGGTGGAAAAAGAGGAATTTAAGCAGCTGGTTAAAAATAACCTCAACCCGAAATTTACAATATTTTGTGCAGTTCCTGAAAAGTTCCAAGGTTAAGCTACTTTAGCAATAGTTATAATTATTAATTAATTTAAAAATAATTAATTAATTAAAGTTAAAATTAAAGTTAATTAGTTATTTTACACTTAAAACTTCCAGGGAAAACATGACCTAGGTTATGTCTGTGTCACTACTGTTGCACTCCAAAGTGCTGCTGCTTGAAACCTCCAACTACAGATAACATTTTCCTATATCGACATAAATCCCTGAATCCATCCACTTTCTTTCACTTATCCGGAGCCAGGTTTATGATGCATCAGCCTAAGCAGAGAAGTGTAGACCTCCTTCTTCCCTACCACTTTCCTCAGCTTCTCCGGGGAACGCAGAGGCATTACCCAGACAGCTGAGAGACAATCTCTCCAGTGTGTCGCGAGTCTACCCCAGGGACTCCTCCCAGGAAGACATGCCTGAAACACCTCAACTAGGAGCCATCCTAGGTGTGTGTGTATTATAAATTTGCAAGTTTCCTTGAAATGGAGATTAATGCTACTCTTTCTAGTTAACAGAAGCCCTTCAAACCCTGCTCTGCACTTACTCGAGTGCCCAAAAAACACATCTAAGCAAGACTAAAGCAGATCAGATGAAGGTTTACGAGCCATGTGAAGCACCGACGGTCAAATGTGTAAAACAACGTCTGTAATTATTTGTTAGTCATAGCAACAACAACACAGCTAATAAGAGGAAGGGTTTGATAAATTGTTCTGATGCAGTTCAAACTCTGTCAGCACTTTTACTACGAGCCTGTTTTTCTGGTTTAGGCACCGTCCCAAAATCCTGCGCTACAGTAAGCCTCTTAAGAAGAGTGGGTGTTGTTACAGCAGCAGATTAATGCTCAGAGTTTTACGATGAGATGTTTAAACACGCACATATGGCTGCGACAGTAAAAACACTAACAGGTGACGTGAATATCATTATCATCCTGTTACAAGCAGTGTTGTGGGAAACTCCAGGTCTTATCCCCCACCTGCAGATAAGCACATTCCTAATGGCAGCAGTGACCCCTCACAGCCTCCTGTAGCAGGTGAGCACACTGACATTCCACAACAACTGCCCAGCATCAGCAGGTGGAGCACGTCAAAGAGCCCAAAAGGCTCTAATGGACTCGGATGTGGCCCAGTGCACAGCAGAGGGCAAGCCCACATTTTAAAGCACACGTCTACCCCCAAAAATGAGGCATCATGAAGTGTCAGCTTGCCTCCCCCGGCTTATCAGACACAATGTTGCCTTTGGTTATTCATTTAAAGCAGGCCAAGACTTTCTCAGAAGCGATGTTTGGATTCCAAGTGTCTCTTCAGCTTACTTGGCACCATGCTAGCAATAGCCAACTTAGGATGACAGATGACGCACTAGAGCTTAGAGCTGTTGACATCCCTGGCCCAACTGAAACCTTTCCAGTTCTGTTTGTTTTTTATTTCTCGTCTCAGTTGTCTTTCTCTAGTTGTTCAGCAGCACCGGTGCTGACTTCAGTTCATAGCTCGCAAATAATTGTTTTTGATACATTAAATTAAAATGTTGTTATGCAGATAAATAAATAACGAAGCAATAATGCATGGCTGTCATCAAATTAGCACACCTGGACACAGCACATCATTTGAAGTGTATCTGCCAGTTTCTCAGGATCGAGCGATATCGATTGAGGCCACACGTCAACAAAATTAAAATCCACACACTCCACTGCCACCACCAAAGGTCCCATGTAAATGACAGACAGCTGACATGTCTCCACAGGCACACATTTCGACTCCACCGCCTTATCACACACACCATCAGACAAACGCTTGCTTCCTCTGGTTTATTCATTTAAAGCAGGCCAAGACTGTCTCACAAAGCACGTTTGGCTTCCAAGGGTCTCTTCGGCTTGCTTGGCACCATGCTACTATTAATCATCTTCAGATGACAGATGACACACTGGAGCTTAGAGCTGCTGACATGCCTGTTCCAGCTCAAGACACGAGACAGATACCTTTGTTTGTTTGTTTTTCATTTCCTGTCACTCCTCACACCACTGTGCTATCTGTGCCAAGCAACATCTAGGGAGGCCCGACCCCAAGATTCACACAACTCCAAGCGTTCCTCAACTAGACAACGCTGGACACCTGCGAAGATCCCAATGGACAGCCTGACAGGTTCAGAGGCTTCTGTGCATGTTTGTAGGACAGTCAGACACAAACCTTCTAAGGACCTGCTGCCAGGATCCACTTGTTGTGGAGAAAACTCCGTCACAGGATGAGAAACGAGAAAAGCCATAGCTCTGCTCACATTTCCTATCACAGTACGGTTAGCATAATTCCCAGAACAGAAACAAAATGTTTTGTTAATTTGTTTTTATACGAGAAACATCTGGTTTAAACTTTAAGCACAATCACCAACCTGTTCAGCTCATATCTGCTGTATCTTTACATGCATGTGCATTAGTTTGTAGAAAGCAATAAAACATGTTGCTCTATTTAGATTCGATAGTTGTGTTCATGTAGTGTTGTTGTTATTTTCTTGATTCAAACCAGCGTTAAAGGCTAAATGTTTCCTTTAAACAACATTTGTTTTGTTGTTGTTAAACTTCTGTTTGACACCTACAGTCACATGGCGCTCACTTCAAGCTAAGGCTACATATACACTTTACATATGAAGTCGTACACCTGACATCTTAATTTAGGGACTAAAATCCAGCTGTTTTCAACAGCTTTCTGTTAGCTGTATTAGCCGCCCTATTAGGCTTTAACACACAGTGTAGTTTCCTGTTTAAGTTTTACTTCTGTAACTGTTGTTAAATATAGAAAAGGGGGTGAAAAAACTCACCAGGAGCTGCTGAGATGGCACAATCGGAGGCGTCGCAGTGAAGAGTCGGATCTGCTAACTGGACAATACACATATATATATATATATATTTTTTAAGGAACAGCTAGCACGCTTCCAAGACATAAAATAAATTCATATTCAATCCAGTTATGAGGCATTTAATTACTTTAATCATCAATTAATTGATGAAAGTGCCGCTGGTGAACCGGATATAGCCTACTTTTCCTTTTTTTTCATTCACAATCAGCAGCAGGGCCTCCATCTGGTCAGGAAACCTGTGCGCATGCGTATGATAATAACGGTCGCTGTTATTGTGAAGTTCATTTTTCGGGAAAAATGTATGTTGTTTGTTGATATTTTTAGTTTTAAGAACAACTTTGACCATCCTAATGCATTCAATCCCAACTGTTTATAACCACACGATTAAAATAAATAAAAAATAATTAATCTAGACGTGGATTAAAGCACACAGCCTTATTCTTAGTGAAATAAACAGAAAAACACCACTGCTGTGGTTTAGTCTGCAGACGGTAAACTGTTTTTAAATGCCTCAGGTAAATACTGTGGCACTGTTGATATGAATGATCCGTGAATGCGCCGCCTGTAAAATGTTTAAAGTATCAAGTGCGTCATTAGCTGTGGAGGGTTCTGCGTCCTCACATGTTCATGGAGGAACAGACTCTCGCTCTCTCCACGGGGAGGATCGCGGCAGATGACCGTCCTTCCTTTGGCCTCCTGTTTCTTCCTGTTAAAAGGGAGTTTTTCCTTTCCACTGTCTGAGCGCTTGTTCATAGGGAATCATCTGATTGTTGGGGTTTCTCGGTATTATTGTAGAGTTTTTATCTTACACAGTTAAATGAGCTGAGAGCCACTGCTAGCACTGTCATCTCATTGGAGGGCCGATTTAGTGTTCAAGTAGTCCAAAAAACTAAAAAAAGAAAACACCCACAAATATTTCTGCAAATGTTGGGTTTTGTTTGGTTTTTTAAATTTCAAATATTTTATAACAACACAAAACTGCAAACGTGAGGGCAATTTTTTTCCATTGAACTACCAAATAAATAGAATAGAATAGAATAGAATAGAATAGAATTCAACTTTATTGTCATTGCACATGCACAGGTACAGGGCAACGAAATGCAGTTTGCATCCATCCAGAAGTGCTTTAGTGATATAGATATATTACAATATATATTAGCAATAATATAGATATGTGAGTATATTACAGAAATGGGTCTATTATGGTATAATGTACACGGTATGAAGTATGTTGTGAATATTCTATAACTATAAGTATGTACAGGCTGTAGTGAGTACAAGCTATGTACAGGATATGAACAGGATATAAATATGAAAAACTATACAGAATATGAAATAACTTTACAGAATCTGAGATATACAGCTATACAGAAATGGGAACTGTGCAAGTTGTAAACTTATCGAATGTACAGAATGATTATTTACACAGAGCTATACAGTAGTGCAGTTAAGATAAGTGAGATATGTGGATAATTCTACAGAGGCTGTATAAAGTGCTGGTGGTTGTGAGTGGTGGTTCAGTCCATGTTATTATTGTGTGTTTGAGGGTACAGTTGTCCATTGTGGGTGTGTGTATGTTCAGTCCATGTGTTAACGTGGGTCAGATGTCAGGAGGCAGAGTTCAGGAGTCTGACAGCTGTGGGGAAGAAGCTGTTCCGGTACCTGGTGGTCTTAGTCCGGAGGCTCCTGTGGCGCCTCCCAGAGGGCAGGAGGGTGAAGAGTCCATGTGATGGGTGACTGGGGTCTTTGATGATTTTCCCAGCCCTTTTCAGACACCGCTTCCTGTAGATGTCTTTTATGGCAGGAAGTGGTGCTCCGGCGATACAAACACATTGGTCCTCTCTTTCTGGACAGACACGTGGCAGCACTGCTGCTATTATTTTGTTCATATTTAACAAAACAAAAATGCAGTGTACACAGTGTTCGACTCTCTCACTGAGCTAACACAGCCAGTCCCTCAGCACGACTGTACTCTCTGCTCATGTTGCCTTCATATTAAATCATTCTTAGAACTTAACACTGCACTCAACAACAAACAAATCCTCCCTAACAAAACAATAACTTCCAGGTCAAATTACATTATATAGTAACGGTCACGTGAGCCGCAAGTGGCCCCCAGGCCGCGAGTTTGAGACGCTGTAAAGGACCTTGAGGTGACTGTTATTGTGCTTTGACACAATATAAATAAAACTGAATTAAAATTATGGTACACTGAATTTTACCTTTTAAGAATTTTGAAACTACCCACCATTTTTAACAAAAGCACAGGATTTTTGTTCTCTTAACAAACACAAGTGTCAGTGTGTGTGGAAAAACTCAACAATTTCAGCTTTAGTTTAAAATAAAAGTTTAATTACATCAATAAAAGCAATATTACACAGTAATAGGCTTTTTATGACCAGATAAAACCACATTCACCTGTATCAACAGGAAATATAGCCTGAATTTACACAATATCTGAGATAATATTGCATCTTTGACTAAAACTCCCGAAACCTTTAGAAGGTACTCTCATTTTCACGTCATCGGAAACAGAAAGAGATTAAATAAACCACATGCAGTGGATTGAAAATGAACAGATTCCAGTGTTTTCAAACCTTCAGTAAATCTAAATACATAATCCATCTGTCACATTTACAGTAAATGACTTTATAGAAACAGACAAAGTCGGAGCATTTTATACAAGATTTCACTACACAGGCCCAAAAGGAATAACCTATAACTTCTGTATAAACATTTAATTTAAAAAATACCCCACGGCATCCCATTAATCCTGATTGGAATTTGCATAGATTGCACAAACAAAACAACACAGTATTAATCAATACAGCACAAAGGACTTGAATTGATTCCCTGCAGCTATTTAATCAGAGTGGCCGGCCATGCACGTCATGCCTGAGTCAACAGCATGCTAGAAAAAACAAGTAGCAGCCCACACAAAGCCACATTCATCCCGTAAACGCAATTTCAGTGTAATTATACAATTTTAAAAATGCTTTCCAGAACTAAAGAGACAGAAAGAAAAATCAACCAAAGCTCTTGACCAGAAGCCACTTTCCCGTCAGCTGCCCTCATTTCTTCTGGCAGTAGTTTTTGTAGTTACTGCAGGCCTTCTGCATGTCCGTTAAGAACCCTGGAACCCCTTTCTGTTTTGAAAAAACACACGCAAAGAGCATCTCTATCAGCGAGCGTCATTCACACATGTGCCAAGAAGACCCACCTAGGAGTGGCAAGCATTGACGTCAGCCTGCAACACATCTGCGAACCATAATGATGGGAAAGCATGAAGGCAGGCAGAGGGACGGAGCTCTCGCAGGCCCGCGAGTGAACTCTTTAACGCCCTCTTTAAAGCTCTCATCACAGATCAGTTTAAGCAGGTCAACTATGAACACGTGTGCATTTCAGGGGTTGTGAGGCGCTGGTGCAAACTGACGCCTTAAACACTGCAAGACTTTGAACGCCCCTTTAAACAAGAGCTAATAAATCAGAACGTGTTTCAAATGATGAAGAGTGATGCACAGATGTTTTGGTGTATGTTAACCACACAGAGCACAGAAGAGGAAGACGTATCTGTTGAGGATGTAGTCTTACATGCAGTTGTCTTTGCAGTTGACCCATCTGTTTAATGGGCAATCATCTGGTTTAGGGTTTTTCATGCAAAGTTCTAAATGTGTTTGTTTCCATGCACTGCAGTAAGCCGGCACAATAGACTCACCTTCGCTGCCCAGTTCACCAGCCAGGTGGGAATATTTCCGCCAGGATTGTCAAAGTAATTCATGAAAACTGAAACACAAGCAGGCGGTTCAATCTTTATACAGTTTCTGCAACCAAGCCTTCCATTCTGAAAAGTGAAGCTAATGCAGCACGTTTTCAAACCTGCATTCTTTCTAATGGCCAGCAGGGGGCGACTGTCCTTGTTCAAAAGAGGAATAATTACATAGAAGTCTATGAGAAAATGAGTCTACTTCTCACTTGATTTGCAACTTCAGTAGACACTTTTCAGAAGCGTTTATAAATTCAATCACTCATTTAAAGATTTATTTAATAACTTATTATGTTCATCTAGTAAATTATGGTCCCATTTACAGTAAAACAGATGATAAACCATGGCCACCGACGAATCTACGAGCATATATGTTATTCAGTTTCAGTGAACGGCTCAAATGATGGGCCATTTGTTTAATTTAAACTGCAAATGTATTCACATGAACCTGGAATCTTTCTGTTTAAAAAAAAACACATTTATTTACAGGAACATAATTATATAACTGCAATTGTTTAAAATGATCTTATTGTGTTACGTTTAGTTCCACCAGCTCCGTCACTCTCCAGGGAAACGCTCTGCTTGTAGTCTTTGACCCGAAGCACGCCGCTCTTTTCTGGACACGGTGTCTCCGGGGAGCTTTTGGCAAGGATCACCCAGATCTTCCTGCCGTCCATATCCAGGTCTTTCCGCTCCCTCACATAAACATACTTAGGTTTAAGCTGTTAGGGAACATGACACGCTGAGAAAAGCATTCAGAGCCTTTTCCAAATCTATGCGAACTGAACGTATTAGTGCAGATCAGAAGGATACGTCTCTGTTTGACAGCGGGAATGGGTATTTCACTTCCCAGTAGATGGCTGACTGTCCATCAAAGTCCTTCTCATATAGCTCTGAATAAGAAAAATGACACAATCATTCAATGAGCTACAGAAGCACATAAATATCAGCTGAAATACATGATATACTTGGAAAAGAGAAGAACAACCACCCCCAACTATACTAACCATTACATTTTAATATCTTATGAGGAAAAAATGGCCAAGGAAATTAATATTTTCAAGGAATATACTTGAAATACTGCAATAACCACTTCATCTTTACAGAAAACTACTCGCAACACTAGCAGGTTGTATTTGTACAAGTTGTGGTTTGCATACTGCACAAGACAGACTGCATGGAAGAGAAAGAGCGCTTTAGATTCAATGAAAGGATAATAAAGAAAATCTTTGGGTTTTATTCTCTCCTTCACTTTAATATTTTTCACTATACTAGAACAATTTGCATCTGTTTAAGACAATACAGCTAATACACTAGAGATTTACCTTTAAAGTTTTCCTGCTGATTGATCATTATCTTTAGTTTATTCTCCACTTCTTTTACTCTTATGTAATCTTGCTTTATATTAACACACCCAAAATCAGGAAACTAGTTGCCAGTCGGTTGTAAAGTGGCATTCATGGGTAATGTAGGCCCCTCTGATATCTGGATATGTTTAAGGAGAGACACTGAGAAGCTATCACCACAGAAAACACAGAAAATGCTACTGAAATGAGCAGCTTTCAGCTAAAAGACTACAGCTACACCATGTTACCTGCTGGGTACTGTAGATGTGCATGAAAACAGGGATGAAAGAAAAGTGAAACTGTTATTTTAAAGCATTAATGAAGACTAAAAGATCGGAGAAGACACAGAGATAAAAGAAAGACAGTAAATGTGGTGTGAACCCTGCCTTCCTGGGCTGTTTCTGTTTTTTTACCTTTCACATATCCATCCCAATCTTTTCGATACGTCAAGTCCATGTAGACATCTGCACACAGCTCTGGAGTGCAGGTGGTGAGCACACCATAGACTTTGTACTCATAAAGTCCAGTTTCCTGCAAACAGCACATGAAAGTTCTCTCTTCCAACTGCAGGCCATATGATGCCACACCCACACTATGCAACTAAGCCCTGACCACACCACTCTGATTAGTGCCAGTCTACATTTCTCACGCCCAGTGAGGAACTGTGTTGGCCTAGATTCAAATGTTTGGGTTTTTTTCCTTTTAACATTGATTTTTCAATGTTTTACGCAAGAAAACTAAAGCAATACTTAGAATGAGAAATATATTAGGTACATTTATGTCTTCTAAGAGTAAAAGTCATACCAAATTCCATTATCTATAACGTGTACAAATTGAAGTGATTTATTTTAGATTTAAGATAGTTTAAAAAACATAGTTTTTTTTCTCCAAAAGTTTGTTTTTAAAGAAAAATGTTCAAAGAATCATTTCACTTATATCACTCAGCATGTTTTGAAGTAAACAGAGGTGACAATTCACACATAACCTTGAAGAAACATTTTTCATAACTGAGATTTTAAACTTTCATTGTTATTTACATTAGGCTTCCACTGACAATCTTGTTTTAAATCAACCAAAAAGCCAACCTAGATGTGTCAGGGATGTGCCGAATTGAAGGGTGGATCATTGCAGATGCAAGAATGTCTTCAACGAGGTTAGTCAGGGTGTCTGTTTACGCCCCAAGGCAAGGCAACTATAAATCGACGTCTATCCGAATGGAGTTTGGTTGGACTGGTGCAGCAAGTTTCTGAGTGGAGAAAAAACATACTCCCGCTCAGCTTCCGGCTTCTTCCCCATGCTAGCCGCTGCTGTTTATCTTTGCTGCTAATAAATTAAACTAAACTTATACTCAGCTTGATAACAGCTCAACGTTTTGACAGAGAAAAGGTGGAAACATAAAACAGCGACAGTTCAGGCTCTGCAGCGCTCACCACATTCATTCAAACTGGCTCGCCGAGTCGCTTTTCCTGCAGCAGAAGCAGCAGTTTGACTGGAGATTTCCTACCTTGTCATAGAGCCGGTAGATTTTCACTCCCATCGTCTCCACGAACAGCTCCCATCCTCCCTCCAGCTGCGGCTCGTCCAGCTCCTTCCACGCATTCTGGAACTCCTCATCCGTAAACCGCAGCGACATGATGGACTCTCACTGTGACACACCGGCCAGCCCGCAGCCAAGCACCATACTTCCGCTCCGGGCCTTCAAAATAAAACACACAGTGCAAACAGGAGCATTTCTGAGATAGGACGTACAGGATGTTTGGACATCACGCTTCTGTACAGATTTGACCTCTCCACACAGAATGATTTTAGTAAAGCTGCAAAATGAACGTGAATGAGAGCAATAAAAAAAAAAATGCTGGTATTATTATGAATTTTCTAGTAATGTTAATAAAGTGCAATTATATAATAAAACTAGCTAATATAGATTTCATATGGATTTTATTTAACTTTTCAGTTTCAGTTTAACTCAAAAAAGTATAGCAACAGTCTCAAGGCGCTTTATGTTCATGCTAGAGACCCTACGATAATACAGAGAACATCTCAAGAATCAAACAATCCCCTATGAATAAGCACTTTGTGACAGTGGGAAGGGAAAACGCCCTTTTAACAGGAAGAAACCTCTGGCAGAACCAGGCTGCCATCTGGGATGGCCAGATTCAGATAGTGGATTCTGATAGTTTGATACTAGTTTCAGGACAAACTCTAATAATTAGCCATGATTATGATTTTTTTTCTTAAATTGGTCAATATATATAAAAACTTGTATGAGTCTGTTTAAGAAAAAAAAGGCTAAAGGGCTAGGTTGGATAAGAAGAAGAAAGACCTGGACCCAGGTAAGAAGCAGAGAGGTAGAAAATGGATGGATGGATGGAGAAGCATATATATATATATATATATATATATATATATATATATATATATATATATCTTACTTAGTGTATTGTCTGTCTTTGTTACTGTTTATACTGAAGCACTGTAACCAAAATAATTTCCCCTAGGGATCTATAAAGTATTCTGATTCTGATTCTGATTCTGATATAAATCTAAAGAAGTGAGGTACTGTTTATTGCAGGGTGTTAGAATGTTTACTCAGGCTACATACAGCCCAACCTGATGTTATCAGTGAACAGTCATAATGATAAAAGATTATGGAGTGATATGCCATTATTTCTCTTTCATTCATTTACATCGCTTACACAGTATGCCCTTTATCAGCTGATAAACTCAAGGCGTAACAAAACAAACAAAGCAAACCTTCGGGCAGGCAATCAACGCGTTTTATTTTGAAACGCACCGCCGGATTCACCAGCTTTCCCCGATGGTTTCTATCTTCGCTCTGCAGTCAGAGGCGCATGAAACAGTCCCGCTAGAATGAGGATGGCAGTGCGGCTGGCAGCTCCTAACCTGACGACTCTACGGTGCGGCAGTTCTCATGAATGGGAGTCAGATTCCAGCCCGGAGAGTCCGCTGTGAGCTTCAACACTGAGCGAGAACAAACAACATTCACTTTTAATTAGATTAGTCTGGTTAAATAATTCATCAGCTCATAGACAAGCAGAGGGACACTTTGCAAACTTTGCCACATGGAAAACGGCTCTGAGGTAACGAAGCTTTCTTCTTTATTTCCCACCTAAAACAGGCTATCTGCACTAAATTTACTACACATTAAAAACATATATCGTGACCAGCTGAAGCCAGGCTGTGTTGCTGCTTGTTGCTATAGCTGAACTGGATTTGGTTATTTGCTAAGATTTTATAGATTTACTTTTAACTTTATAAATCCTCATTTTTTGTTACCCCAATAAACAAACTTTCATGTTTACCACTAAGAAAGCCTGCAAGAGTTAGTTTGGAGAGTTCCCCACTCTTCACATTTTCTTGTTGTTTAAAAGTCCTGTGGCTTCACAGCTTGCAGCTTTCCCTCCTCCAGTATCCTCCCTTCTTTAAATGGTCCAGAGCCACAAACTACACTTAATTTCTTCAGTCTGTCCCGATGCTGGTCATTTTCATTTCAGCTGTGTATGAATAATAGATCAGTCACTTTACAGGAACTTTGTGTACTGCTGAACTAAAGGGTTAGGGTTTGACATTTATATGATTTTTGTCCTCTATTTTTTTTTAATTTTTAAGAGAAGACGACTCAAATCAAGAAAATATTTAATCACAAAAATATTAAACAAGATTCATAAATAAGAGTGGGGGGACATACTGGTTACAGTTACACTGCTTCTGCCATGAGTAAATCATTTACAGTTATTCAAATTTATAAATTCTTTATATAAAACAAATTTTAAAAGCTTTTGTTTGAGGGAAAAATACATTTCTTGACTTGAAGTAACAGAAATACACAGATCTGTGCTCTCTTTTCTGTTTGTTTTGTTTCATTGTTTGTGGATAGTAAAGATTTTGACATGTGTGCTGATGTACACAGAAGTTTCTTCTTCATTTATGCGGTGACCCCGCTCTAAGGACTTTTAGATACTAAAATCCATACAGTGTGAGACATCAGATACCAGCAGATACCAAACGCAGCGTCTAAATTTAATGCTGGACATTAAATGGCTTTCTTCATCTTGATAAAGTTGTTTTCCTGGAGGAAAACAGGGAAGGTGATGAGATTTTATTATCTTGTGTTTTTCAGTGTCATTACACAGTTAAACCAAACGGGTCTCCACTCTGTTGGGAAGTAGTTTTGGTGGTAAAATGGTGCTGCTTCTGTATTATTTTGAAATAGTGAGACCCAAAGTATTGGCTGCAGAAGACACAATCCTGGCTGTAGGTGTAGCACTGACCATTGGGCGAGGAAATTCTGCTCATGTTTAGAAACTTGATTAAATAATTTCAATTTCAAACATCTGGACTGATAAAGTCCCAGCAAGTCTTTTCTACCCACTTATTGTGACTCAGCTTTCCATGCAGCAGGCGTGTGTGTGGAGGCGGGGTGAGCGCTTGTGAAGATGTTTGTGATTTCGAAGCTCCTTGCATTTCATGGAGCAGTTTGTAATGTCATATCCTGCGCTCTCCAGGGAATGTCTCAGCTCGTGCTGGGACGAGTGGTCCGGCGTCATTCTCCTCTGACTGGGTCAGGAGGAGGCGGCTGGGATTGTGCAAAGAGGTTACATGGGTTTATTAAAGCAGCATGTGGTCAGGAGGGGGGAGTTGTGAAATGTGTTGAATTATAATAAAAAGCTTCTGCCAGAGTTTCTTTTGCTGTTTACAGTGTTGAGCAACACGTTTGAGCACTTTCACTGCTTCTTTCTCCACAGACTGGGAGATCCTGATCACAGGGAAAAGATCAATAACGAGGAACCATCTGTGGTCTGTTAACAGAAGACTGCTGGATCCTGAAATGCCAGAAGACACTAGCAAGGAGGCCATGAGAACACCAGCGACACCAGAGAAGGCCAACAACGCCGAGCGCCCTGCTGTCGCCATGACAGCCCTAAACATCCCCCTAGTTAATGAAGTGCAGCTGACCGCAGCCACCGGCGGGGCAGAGCTCTCCTGCTATCGCTGCACAATCCCGTTTGGTGTGGTAGTGCTCATTGCAGGCATCGTGGTCACCGCGGTCGCTTACAGCTTTAATTCGCACGGCTCCACCATCTCCTATTTTGGCCTGGTGCTCCTCTCTGCAGGACTCTTGCTTTTAGCGTCCAGTGCCATCTGTTGGAAGGTGCGGCTGGAGAGGAAGAAGGAGAGGCGGCGGGAGAGCCAAACGGCCTTGGTTGCAAACCAGAGGAGCATTTTCACTTGAAGCTGCAGTTTAAACAACGCAGCTCCAGGTTTTCTGAGTCTGAAAAGGCCTGATCTCGACACGGTTTGATGAAGAACCAGCTGAAGGCAGATGTTGTCCAGAATGTTTCTTCAGTTTCCGACCTGTAAAAGCTCCGACTCTCAAGGCTCAGAATTCAAAGCTTTACAGACATTATGAGGGATTTATTTGTCAAACAGACGTGGAGCATCTGGTAAGCTGGGAACACAGCCAGAAGGAATGTATCACAATTAAGATGAATTACCACTGTGCGGAGTGGCGTAGAGGAAGTCTCCCATTAATCGGCTGTTGGATGTGCTGCCTTTGATTGCAGCAGGAAGGACTGTGGTTTGAAAAAGTCCAGAACAATGACTCTCGCCTCATTTGCTAGGCTTCAACTTGCAAATATCTGTTTAGAAAGTCTCATCTTGCAGGAAATGGGGAGAAATGACCTGCTTTTGAAGTATGGTACGTTATAATGGCTGAGAAGGACTATTAAATTTTGAATATGCATCCTCTTAAACCACTTTGATCCTACATATTCATCATATTATGTAATACATTTCTTTAAAAAAAATAATGCAAAGATACATCCACATTTTATGTAGCAATACTTAATGTGGACAACTACATTTTTACTGTCTATAGCTCATATTGTGTAAAATTAAACTAGCAGCTTTGTTTTAGCGTAATCATTTGCATGTATTCATTGTTATCACATGATCATGATGTTTAATAAAATCATTTTATCAAGCATGTTGTTAGTGTCGCAACTGGACAGAATTAATTTAGTTTTGTCTTGTTTTGTTGTACGTATTGAAAGGAAAGACTGTATATAAAAGATGGGTGTAGCCATGTCACCCATTGGTTTGAAATTTGAAGAGCTAACATAAGTGTTTTAGCTACGATGTTGGGTTTGTGGAGCCACGAGTGACCGTATTTAGACCAAAGGGGGGAGTGCAGCGCTAGCAAAAATGGTTAGCTAGCTGCATCCAAAAATTCTGACTGCATCACACATACAGACACACCTGCTAAATAAAAGATTAATAAAATACTAGCATTTCACCAAGTGAAACTGGACCATAGACTTCTTGTCCAGTTCAGTGACTCAAATTAGCAGAGGAAATGCTTAGCAGATAGCTAGGCTATTAGCCACAGCACCTACATTTAAGCAAGTTATTTAAAAAATAAATATACCACCCACCATAAAGTTTTTATAAAGAGAGAAATCATCCATAAAGCCCCCAAAATGTCCCCAAAATGCTGCAGTTTTGTTTTTTAGGGTTTTTATTTCCACTCGCTTTGTTTCTTAGCCCCAAACACTGTAGCCACTTTAGCTTAGCAGAAAAATGTGAAACTGCTAGCCTGTGTGTGTCCAGATTATCAGTGTTCTAAAGTGTTCTAAGTGTTCTAAAACCCATTGAGTGACATTTAATTAAATATAATATGTAAAGCTTATTTTTCATTTGCTAAGATCACCAGGTTTTTGGTAACATGTGTATGCATGGATCAAACACTTAGCAAAGTGCTAATACAACATTAGTAATGTTGATTAGGGACACGAGGTTTTGGTCCACCTTTAGACACAGTGAGCTCAGCTTAATCCTCTATTTGCAGTTCTTCTAAAATTTTAACTACACACAAAAGTCACCCACCGTCACCTGGGGCATATTCAGTATACAAACAGTGTGGGTCTTTTTGCTACAGCTTGAATGACGTATATTAAAAATGGAGTAGCAACACTGCCTTATCCATCTAGCCATCGTGTCACCCCTCCACTTAACATTTTAACATCTTTGAACATGACGGACAGAACAGATGTAACTGAATCAGCAGCTAAACAAACTAGGAAACAGGTAAGGTCACAAATAACAGTATGTCAGTTTTCTCAGAGTTCTCTATAATACTACACAAAATATGTTTCCACCACCAAAGGAACGGACCACTGCTGGACAAAAAGATTCATATCACCTCCTAGGTGAATATGTATATCTGTTAGTAGAGGACTATTTTCTTAACCAAAAAGCTGACTGCCAAAATGATAACACACGTGATGAGAGTGAAATCAGTAAATTATTAAAAATGCATTAGGACAGAGATAATCGTTGAAACACATAACATTAATAAATATTCAAATTAAGATTATTTTAATATTGGTATTAAAAATGTGAGCAATAGGACAATTTTACTGTCAATATTCCCTGGTCACACAGTTATGCTCCAGTTTCCTGTCGCCTTACACTCATAGAGTGGATTAGTAAGTGTGACTGTTTCTTCAGGCTTGTTACATTCATAGGAAATGTGACTCTCAGAGGTTTGACGTCAGTGTTTGTATTTCTTAGAGACAGTTTATGAGTAGGAGAAGCGATGAGTTATTTTATTAACATTCAGTCATTGGCTTTCACTGCTGAGTTGGGGGAAATGTTTTGCCTCTCATGACGTACTTGGGTGTGCCTTTGAGTCTTCGCACAAATTTACTGCACATGTCTTCTGGTGACAAATCCAAAGCCAATGTATTCACTTGAGAATTTAGATTTCATTCAAAACACAGTCATCACGGCCTGCCCCGTTAAAATATCAACAACAAAGCAGAGGCTACGTTTTGGTTTATGTCAAGGAAGTACTCAGAACCTCTATGTAATTTAAATAAGAGGATGTAACTGCAAACAAGCAAATAAAAGTACTTTATGTAAAAAACAGCCACTGATACTGTATAACTACATTACTTTTACTCACATATTTATATAAACAGAGGATTTTACTGTTGTAGATCATTAAGGTGGAGTCATTCTTTTCCTATTTCACACTGGGCTGCAGCTAATAATCACTACTTTCATTATGGATGATCCTGATGACTACTGAATGCTCTGTAAACAATTGTAATTTGTAAAGATTTGTGGAAAAAAGAAGCTTGAAGACTAATTTTAAATGGTATAAAGCAAATCTTGTTAAATTCTAGTTCCTGTGTGAACTAAACTCTTGGATAGATTAATCTATGGCAATAATTTGGATTTTATAAACTCCAAAAAAATCTTAATTTGTAGGTAAATAAAAGTACAATTTTGTCCAATGGAGAGGAAATGAAACGTAACTCAAAGCATAAAAATACTTGAGTAAAAGCTGCTTTGTTGTACACCGCCACAAATGTCAAAAACATGCAGACCAACCTCAGTACTTTGTTCAGATATCGAGAGTTACAGATGCAAATAAAAACTTAACTTGATTATTTTGACATTTCTGTGACATTTCTTCTTTTTTTTAAATTAAAAAATAATATTTTTTATATTTCTATTCGTTAAGTAAAAAAGCTTTTAAGTTAATCAGCTTTGAAAATATGAGGCAATTTAGTTTTAGCTGAGTTACATTTCGGTGGATTTCCAGTTTACAGATTATTTGACATTACAAACTTGCAAATGTAAAAATAACATCAACTGACAAAGGAAGATGATTCTGATGGAAGTTGCAGAAAGTTAATTATTCTGGCAAATTTAAAAATCACAGTCAGCCTTTGCACCTAAACTCAAAGCAGTCGGAATCACTTTAGTAACAATTTAACACATAGCTTCTCTCTATTTGTTACTTTTTCCCACCACCATCATCATCACTTTATGTGTCTAAATATTGGCAGTTTTTCTTCTGCTGGACGACTAATTGAATGTTTCAGGACATAAATTCTCTAAAGTAAAAGGAAGTTGAGCGCTGTCGTCCGACCCCGTCAGGTTTAAAATAGCCTGGACATGGAAGTATATTTATAGGCAGCATTTGCGTTGCTATGCGTCCCCGTGACACCAGACACTACAACTAAATGGTTTCCTTGCGTCAGAGGAGAACCTACAACACACTTTGTCACTTTTGGGAGATCACCACCACACATGCAATCGGCTGAAGACGTGCACTTTATAGACTCCGAGATCAGCTCAGTAACACGTTAATGAGACACATGACACGGTGAGGCGTCTCCTCCTGCTTGTCAGGTTAGAGGAAGCCAGACTGAAGCTGGAAAAATGGGTGACTTGAGATGAAGTTTGACAGGTGCTCTCCCCCGGCGTCTTTAGCCTCGTTACACACTGCTGGCACCTCATGTAGGGACTGTGTGCGTCACTTTTTGTGCCTCACATAGTTGTCATTTCAATCAGTGCCACGCTGCTGCTGGGTTACTTTATCAATAAACTGAAAGAAGCCGGGGGCACGTAGTTTAAAACAACAGGAAAGAATTTCAAGAGTTCCAAAGGAGAATAGAAGCAAGAAAACGAGTGACGTAAAGAATTCAATTGGAAGGAAGGAATGAGTGAAGGAATGAAGGAAAGAAGGAAGGAAGGAAGGTAATCGGAAGAGGAAGAATTAAGAGGTCAATCAAGTATGGAAGTAAAAAATAAAGAAAAGTGACTAGCATGGAAAAAGTAGAAAGTGTTACAAATGAAAAGGAAGACTTGTGGAATGAATGTGTTCTCCTTCAGCCTCTTTCAACAAAGGAGAACAAGCTGCAGTGTTAAATTCCAGACTTCAAAACAACCGACTGCACATTGTTGAAAAAATTAAACATAACGAGCTCAGCATTACAGACATCCTGCTCCTTCCTGCTGCCTCTAATGAAACAGCTGTGCAGCCGGAGCGTGAAGAGGCTCGGACAGACCCGACCTGACAGCTCTCCGACTAGCTGACCGGACTCAAGTGACATTTGCTCATTTTCGATAACAACCTGAAAATTACAAAAATTTCTTTTGTTTGACTTGGTTCAGGTTGCCTGATGAGGGTGAAACAAGCACAGCACTGTTAATATCCGCTCCAAGAAAAGGCCAAAGTCAAGTTCTGCACTTATCGGAGCAATTTTAACCGGTTTTTCAGGTGTCCGGAGATGGAGATCCACTGGAATCTTTTGTTCTGCATATTTCTTCATCTTCCATCCCTGCAGCTCTCAGAGGTCCTGCACAGTGGTGCTTTGAGAGTAATGCTAACATCAGCATGCTAACACATAATTGCCATCTCAAATTGCATACTCTTCCATACTTACACTAACTATTTTGAGTGTATAAGTGGGTTCACATTGAGTACACAACAAGTGCAGTGATGATGTACCATAGATTATATAAAAGACGGACATAGCTTCCAGGTCGGAAAAAATGAAGCCAATGTGGAAGTGCCTTAAACCGATCCGAAGGCCACCAGAAGGTGATAGCTGTAGTTGCAAAAACACGTCTACGGGAAGGTGGCTGTCTTGCTTGACTCTGTAAACACTTTGCTGCTGAGTTTATGGGCTCAGTCGGTCAACTTCAAGTCTGTTTTGTAAATCTTGGTCATTCTGTGTATCAAATGAAAGATCATGTGTAACATGAAACTGCATGCTCATTGGTCAACCACTCCTCAGCCAATGAGCATGCACTTTCACAGTCAGACCTGCCCCTTCTTCATCACGTCCAAGTTTGTGCAACCAAGATGGAGAACGATGGCGATGCTCATCTCAAAACTTCATACAGGGACTTAAGAAACCAGTGGGTGACATCACAGCAGCTGTGCCCATCTTTAATACTGTTTGACTGTTGTATTCATAACAGTCACAAAGGTGTGCACACTCCTTAAATAGTTGTCATCTTTCCTCTGTGGTGTAAATGTTGGAGTTGCCAAACAACCTGCTTCTTAAAAGCAGTTTTGTGTTTCCAAGTCCGTCCATCTACTTGGTGTTGTGTTAGTTTGAACTGTTTTCTGTCTTCTTCCCGTGTGATCTCCATATGATGGTGATTGAAACCATGCTACATCTTCCCTACAGTAATGTGTTCATGTTAGCCACACCACAGCTCTGAAACAGTAGATCATTTATAGCTATCACACCTTCAATAAATCTCCAAATGTTGCTGTTATTATTTTCTGTTGCTTTTACATCCAAAACTATTGCAACACTCTAGATATTGTTAAAGAAGTTATTCAGGCACATCGTCTTTATCAACATCAGTTAGCTAGCGAATGCAACCAACTTGCCTGAACCTCATAAATTCTCCTTTTCACGGATGCCTGAATGTTTGAACTTTATTGTTACACCTGGGAGAACAGCCACGCTGGTCATTTTATTGGAGCTGAAAGAATTTAGATGGTTTTTACTCTCAGTGGGGCCTCAGTGCGTGTTTGCATTTGGGAGCTGAGGGAACATTTGGACCTGCAAATGGCTAAAGATGCCTTACCGAACATTTCAGCCATTAGTACATGGATGTTGCCAATGACAATTTGTTAGCTAACTTCAGCAGGTCAAAGTACATGTGCTGTGGTAATATTTGGTGTTACGCTAAAATAATAGCATGTGGAGAAAACCACTTGTTGGTGAAGCTGATCTGTGACTTCCCAGCTTCAACGCAAAGTTCACGTTGATCAGATCCAATGTAGTTAAACACACTGAGCTCAGCTTTGTAAAACCACTATGATGGTGCAAAGTTGAATAGCCTGAGC